ATGAAATAATGGACTTGGACAATGGACATATAAAAACTAGCACCGTAGACGGCCGCTTGCGGCCGCACAGTGGGTGATTTTGCTCATTTTTGTGTCAAAATCGTAAAAGTCTGAGCAGAAACAACATAAAAGGATAAATCTTTTTCGAGAGTATAGATTAGTACCTACAGATTACGGAAAAAATAAACAGAAGCGTTAAAAAATTTTTTATAATCTTAAAATTTTACGTGGGAGTCAGAAGTTTCAGTAAACAATCAATATTATCCAATACTGCGCAAGTTTGCAAGTCGTTTTTCATCCAAAAAGTATTTTTCTTAGTAGATTTTGAGTCAACTTATTCGTACCTATGGTTCAAAATAATTAAAAATTATTTGGTTTTGAATAAATGAGGTTATAAATGTCATACTTTTTCTCACCTCGTTTAAAACAAATTAAAAATAATTTTTTTTAATACTGAAGGTATTTTAGGGGTTTTTGGGGTCGCTGATTACGAATCTGAAGTCAGATTTTTAAAACTCAAAATGGCGGATTCAATATGGAGGATGACATATATAAAATTTGATCGAATTGGCCTGAAATTTATTACCTGGGGGTTTTTTCGGTCGCTGATTACGAATCTGATGTTAGTTTTTTATAATTCAAAATGGCGGATCCAATATGGCGGATAATATATATATAAAAATTGATCGAATTGTCTTGAAATTTGTTACCTGGGGGTTTTTTCGGTCGCTAATTACGAATCTGATGTCAGTTTTTTGAAATTCCAATTTGCGGATTCAAAATTGATATATTTCAAAAATGTATACAAATAAATAAAAGATAGTATTAATTACTTACTTAACAGCTGCTATATATTTTCTTAAGAATAAACACATACACTTTCAAATACAAATGTTTAAACTATAATTTTTTAAATAGACATATTTTCTCATCCGTATTACAAATGTCAAAGCATATCAGAAAGTGTCTACTATTTGTTTTTTTGAATATACTTTTCGTTGATAAATTCTCTTTTTCTTAAATAACAGCATAGAACTGACATCAAATTCGTAATCAGCGACCGAAAAAACCCCCAGGTAACAAATTTCAAAACAATTCGATCAATTTATATATATGACATCTGCCATATTAAATCCGTCATTTTGAATTTTGAAAATCTGACCTCAGATTCGTAATTAGCGACCATAAAAACCCCCGAATAATGACTTCTAAGCCAATTTGATCAATTTTTATATATATATATATTATCCGCCATATTGGATCCGCCATTTTGAATTATAAAAAACTAACATCAGATTCGTAATCAGCGACCGAAAAAACCCCCAGGTAATAAATTTCAGGCCAATTCGATCAAATTTTATATATGTCATCCTCCATATTGAATCCGCCATTTTGAGTTTTAAAAATCTGACTTCAGATTCGTAATCCGCTGATTACCCTAAAAACCCCTAAAATACCTTCAGTTATCAAAAAAAATTATGTTTAATTTGTTTTAAACGAGGCCGAGGTGAGAAAAAGTATGACATTTATAACCTTATTTATTCAAAACCAAATAATTTTTAATTATTTTGAACCATAGGTACGAATAAGTTGACTCAAAATCTACTAGGAAAAATACTTTCTGAATGAAAAACGACTTGCAAACTTGCGCAGTATTGGATAATATTGATTGTTTACTGAAACTTCTGACTTCCACGTAAAATTTTAAGGTTATAAAATTTTTTTTAACGCTTCTGTTTATTTTTCCCGTAATCCGTAGGCACTAATCTATACTCTCGAAAAAGATTTATCCTTTTATGTTGTTTCTGCTCAGAGTTTTACGATTTTGACACAAAAATGAGCAAAATCACCCACTGTGGGCCGTCGGAGGAGCTATCCTTTCTTAAAAAAGACATGGAGTGGAAAGGTCGAATGTATCGAAAAGTATCGAAGTAAAGAATGGGCAATGAGAATGTAAAATCTTAATAGAAGGGTGTTTTTAAAATTGTTTGTACATGTGAAGGTGGCGCTGCAGTCGTATGTTATTTAAAAAGAGCGCGAATATATAAATTTTATTTTTGTTAAGAGAAAGTACACATAATAAATCTTATTTTGCATTGTCAAAAAAACGTCAACATTTCAAATATAAATAAGCAAATTATTAACTGAAAAAATTTGAATATTATTATTAATGAAATAATGGACTTGGACAATGGACATATAAAAACTAGCACCGTAGACGGCCGCTTGCGGCCGTCGGAGGAGCTAGTAATAACATAAGAAAAAGAATAACAAATTGTCAAAAACGATATTTAAAAAAATTTATAATTGTCAAAGATAAAAATTTAAAATGTAATTTAATGCTATAAAAAAGGAATAAAAGGTGGAAATAACAAAAAGAATTATAGAACAGAAGACATAACAAAAAAATTAGTAGAATAGCCAAAATAACAAAAAAAGTAAGAATATCAAATTGACTAATCAGAAATTTAAATAAATTTATAAATCGCAAATTCAACAATTAAAAAAAAATTTATTGTACAAAAAACAAATAAAAGTAAAAATAACAAAAAGAATAATAGAATAGAAGAAATAACAAAAGAGTAGTAGAACAGTAGAAATAACAAAAAATGTAAGAATAACAAATTGACAATTAAGAAATTTATACAAATTTACTTAAATATCAAATTGAAAAATGTGAAATACGATTTTATGTTATAGAGAAAAGAAATAAACGTGGAAATAACAAAAGAAAAGTAGAATAGCAGAAGTAGAAAAAAAGTAAGAATATTAAATTGACAAATAAGAAATTTACAAAAATTTACAAATTGTCAATTCATAAATTAGAAATAAAATTTTTATTATAGAAAAATAAATAAAGGTAGAAATAACAAAAAAATAGTAGAACAGTAGAAAAATAAAAAAAATGAGAATAACAAATGATTGAGGAATTAGAAACTTAAACAAATTTTTGAAATGCAAATTCAAAAATTATAATTACAATTTTTATGGCAGAAAAAAAATTAAGTAGAAATAACAAAAGCATAGTAGAACAAAAGAAATAAAATAGAACAGTAAAAATAACAATAAAAGGAAAAATAACTTACTGAAAAATAATAAATTTAGAAAAATTAATAAATTGCAAAATCGAAAATTAGAAATAAAATTTTATTGTAGAAAAAACATAAATGTAGAAATACTAAACCAAACTGTAGAAATAAAAAAAAGTCATCAGTTTAAAAAAAACGACAAGTAAGAAAATAAAAAAAAACATACATTACAATGTAAAGATGCTAAAATAAAATTTTATTGTAGAAAAATAAATAAAAGTAGAAATAATAAAAAAATAGTAGAATAGAAAAAAATAACAAAAGAATACCTAGTAGTATAGTAGGAAAAGCAAAAAAGTAACAATATTAAATTGACAATTAGAAATTTACAGAAATTTATAAATTGTCAATTCATAAATTAGAAATACAATTATTGTAGAGAAATATATAAAGTAGAAATAAAAAAATAAAAATAGTAGGACAGTAGAAAAATCAAAAAGTGAAAATAATAAATAATTGACAAATAAGAAATTTAAAAAACTTTTGGAAATTGCAAATTCATAAATTATAAATACTATTTGTATTGTAGAAAAAACAAAATTAAGTAGAAATAACAAAAGAATAGTAGAACAAAAAAAATAAAGTAGAACAGTAGAAATAACAAAAAAAGGAAAAATAACAAACTGACAAGTAATAAAAAATTTTATAAATTGCAAATTGGAAAATTAGAAGTAAAATTTTATTGTAGAAAAAAAAGATAAATGTAGAAATACTTAACCCAACTGTAGAAATAAAAAAAAATCATTAAAAAAAAAACGACAAATAAGAAAATACAAAAAACCATACATTACAATGTATAGAAGATAAAATAAAATTTTATTTTAGAAAAATAAATAAAAGTAGAAATAACAAAAGAATAGTAGAACAGAAAAAAATAACAAAATAATAGTATTATAGTAGGAAAAGCAATAAAGTAAAAATATTAAATTGATAATTAGAAATTTTATAGTTTATAAATTGCAAATTTATAAATCAGATTTAAAATTTTTAATGGACTGAAATTTATCTACATTGCTGCTGGGATGTTGCTAAACATAAGAATAAGATTAATTTTTAATAACTATTCTAAAAAAATTGTATTTTAACTTTTCAGTCGTAGCAGCCACAGCCGACGCTAACAGAAGATCAAGATTTGTGGAATCGGAAAAAAACTTTTAAATTTAATTTCTGTAGGATTTAATTTTTGTGTGGAAATATTTTTTATTTGTTACAAAAAAAACGGAAGATATGTTAAAAAAATTGTGATTGAGAAATATAAACGTTCCAAATTTATTTATTTTTCTGCTTTTTCAAAAGAAGAACAGGATATTTTATAAAAATTGTAATTATAAAATAGAAAGTCTTCAAATTTTTTTTTTATAAATTTCTAAATTTAATTTATAATAATTTCGTTAAAAATTGTGATTAAAAACTGAAGTTAAATAAATTTTTCTATTGAAAGAAACTAAAAATTTTTCTATCCAAAAAATATTGTTGAAAAATCAACATTATGAAAATTTCTTACTTTTATTTTATAAAAATTTTTTAAATTTCTCAGTTTTATAATTTGTATAATAAACATGAAAAAATTGTGATTCTCAGATCTAAAAACTTTATAGTTTTGATATGTGATTTAATGTGTTTGAAAAAAGGAATTACAAAAGCATACACAAAAAAAACTAACACGAAAATGAAAATCTGTCTTCATTTTCACTTTGACAAAATTTCTTTTTTCACTTTCATGGCTTTTTTCAATTTTATTATCACTTTGACAAAATTTCTTTTTTCACTTTAATGGCTTTTTTCAATTTTATTCTTACTTTGAAAGTAAAAAAAAAAATAAGAATAAAATTTGGGCAGGAGTGAAAGTGAAAATAAATTTGTGGACTTAGTAAAAAAGAAATTGTACGGAACTTCAAAAATAAATTTCCCTTTTCAGTAATAAATCGCCATTTATTAACGTAACAAAAAAAGATATAAATTCTCTTACAAACTATTTTTATTTTTTTTTAGTAATTTTTCCATTTTGAAACAAATGTTGAAAATAATTCTCAAGGACTCGCATTGTCAGTCGTTGAAGATGGTCGATTGTAACCACTTCGAGGTTCGCGAGTTAAATTCGGTAAATTAATTGCACTTCTAATTATACTCGTCCTTTGACGACGTGAATTTTGAATATCCGAATCCTCATCGTCCGTTGATGTTCCAGCTTTGGAAAGAACAATTCTCCTCTTCTTTTTACTCATTGGCGTTGGTGGTCTTGTTTTAATTTTTGGCGAATCAGTCTCCCTCTGATCTGTATCGCTTCTTATTGGAATTTGTCCGGAATTTTCTGCATTATTCGCCATCAATTCGGACGATTGTTCTTGATTTGATGAAATACTGACAATTGTTGTTCTCGATATGTTTCTTCGAATTCTCTCCGCACGACGTTCCTCTCTTCGAACTAAATTGTCATCACTCAATGTTCTTTTTCTTGGACGTTTGGGTCGTCGTTTTTTCATTCGTAAATTATCGACTGATCCCAAAATTCTCGTGACTGCTGCATTTTCCGTTGATACTGTATCGAGTCTGTCCAGCGATTGTGCAAGTCGGGGCATTTGCACTGCTTCCTCATAACTTGGTGGGCCGATAAGTTCCATTGGATGGATTCTTGGTTCTGATGATTGGCCTCTTAATTCTTCCTCGAGACGCTGATTCCTGTTGATAATTTTTTTATTTTTACTTTTTGATGATAACAAAAATTTTATATTGATAAATTTTAATTTCAAGCTGATGATGATGATAATAATAAAAAATAAAAAATACTGATTCGACCGCACTAGTTCAACACTGCTCTCTAAAATTGAATCATCAAAAATTTATTAATTTCAATTAGTGACTGACTTTTTGCTTTTGAATTAGTAAATTTTACTAATAAATAGTCATTTCTACCAATTTAGTAAATTTTACTAATAAATGGTAATTTCTACTAATTTAGTAAATTTTACTAATAATAATAGTAATTTCTACTAAGTTATTAGTAAAATTTACTAAGTCAGTCACTAATTCAAGATAGTAAAATTTTTACTAATTTAGATTTAGAGAGTAGTATCAATAAATATTTTCTTTTATAGATATTAAACCATAAGATAAGTACTTTCTTGCTTGGTAATAAGTACTACTTTAAAAAAAATTTAGTAATTTAATTTATTAGAGAAAACTAGCAACAATTTGCGCACTAACTTCTTACTTACTTTTTTAAATAAAAATAGTAATTTTTAAAATAGTAGAACTTAAAAATTTTTAATTCAAATTTTTTTTCATAAAAATAAAATATGAATTGGAATATAGTTTTAATACTATTATAACTATAATAATCAAATATTCAGAGACAGGGAATTCAGAGGAATGTCAGGGATTTTTATTAAAAGTATACTGGAAAAAATTAAATATTTAGAATTCATAGGGAAATTCTAAATTTTTGTGTCTTTTTTGTTTCTCTCATAAACTATGAAATTACCTCGAATTCAAATACAAAACCTTAAATTTTTTCTATTTCTGACAATAATTTCTTTTCAAATAACTTAATTCTTAAAGAATATTGCAAAAACAAGTAGTCACTTTTAAAACGTTTAAAACACCAAAGTATTTTAAAATAAGATGTTTCTTTTTACAGTGAACTATCATAAAATTATTGCAAATTATTCAATGAATAATTTTACTTTAAATATTTTTACTGAAAAGAGTTGCGTTTACAATTTTCACAAATAGATGAACTTCAAAAGGTTTTAATTTAAAATTTTTTAAAATTTCAATTTTTAATCAATTTAATTAGAAATTTAAAAGAAGAAGAGTTTTAGTTAAAAACACTAAAAAAATGAATTTTGGAGAAGTTGCATAAACTCAATTATTTTTAAAAGTATATTGAAATCTTTTGCAGAAATTCAATTATGTTTAAAATTTTTTTTAAATTCTCGTAAAAAAATATCAATTATCTTTAAAAAAATAAAATTTCATTGGAATTCAATTATTTACCAAGTTTTTAATACATTTTTTCGCAATAATTGAATTATTTTCATAAATAATAATATTCTCTTTAGGAATTCAATTATTTTCAAAAGTAATCAAATTCTTTACAGAAATTCAATTTTGTTTAAAAATTCAAAAAAAAAAAAAAATCTCGACAAAATTTAAATTATTTTCAAAAATTTTAACGAAATTCTTGGCAAAATTTCAATTATTTTTCAAAATTTTAACAAAACTCATGTCAAAATTTCAATTATTCTCCAAAATCTTCATCAGCTCAATGATTTTCAATATCTACTATTTTAATAAAATTATCTGAAAAAATTCATCAATTATTTAAAAAACAATTTAATAAAATTCTACGCAAACATTTAATTATATTAATAATTAATGTGGATTCTTGACAAAAACAATCTTAAACATCTTTACTATAATTTAATTATATTTTCATCAATAATAAAAATTTCACAGAAATTCAAATATTTACAAATTTTTCCGCAGTAATTCAATTATTTTCATAAATAATTTAATTTGTTATAGGGATTCAATTATTTTCATAAATAATTAAATTTGTTACAGGGATTCAATTATTTTCATAAATAATGAAATTCTTTTTAGGAATTCAATTATTTTCATAAATAATAAATCTCTCGTTGCAGAATTTCAATTATTTTAATGATCATTAAATTATTCAATTATTTTGTTTTTCAATTTTAATCGAATTTCACGAAAAATGTAATTATTGTTAAAAATTTTATTCAAATTCGCGAAAAGAATTCAATTATTTAAAAATTTCATGATAAAATTCTTTATAAGAATTAAATTTTAAGAAACAATCGTTTATTCAACAATTATTTATTTTTGTATTAAAATAATTGAATTCTCGTAGATTTTTCCAATGAAAATTTATTTAAAAATGAATTTCAGTTGAAATTTTAGATTACAATTCAATATTTTTTCATACTTTTTAACAATTATGTAGAATTAATTTTTTTTTAAAATGTTTAATTGAATTTTTTAAAAATTATTTAAAGTTTTTATTTTCTAATAACATATTTAATTGAAGAATTTACGAATAATCGAAATTTCGTAAAATTGGATTCTAAACAAATAGTATTAAAAATTCTAAAAAAAACTGTTTGAAAAATTATTAAAAATAATTAATTTAGAAGAAATATTTTAGTTAAAAATTCTTGAAAATAATAATTGAATTAAAATAATAATGATTTTGAATAATATTAAAATTAAAGAAATTCGTAAATAAATTTAACAGAACATTTTTTTTAGTTCAATTTTTTCCTTTATATTCTAAAAATTCCAAAATTTTCAAATTTCATTTACAATTAAAATTTGTAATTGACAAATAGAATTTATAAACATTTTTTCCTCTATTTTTAAAAAACTTTGAATTTTATTAAAATAATTGCAATTAAGAAATAGAAATGTTGTAAATTATTTCCTTGTGAAAATTAATAATTTTCCAATATTTTTTATAAATAAGAAGGAGAAAAATTTACATAATTTAGATCAGTCAAATGAAATTTAAAATTTTCTAATTTCTAATATTATTTCATCGAAATAAATAAAATCTCAAAGTGAGAAAAAAATTGCGCTTAACAATTATTTTTACATTTTATTTCCAATATATAAATATGCAAAATTTACAAAAAAAAGGAATTTTTGTTTATATTTGAAATTCTTTTAAACTAAAAGATGAATTTAATCTTTCTTCGATTGAAATTATTCCTCTCAAATTGAAACAAATTTATACTAGAAAGAAGATTTTTAAGTTATTTTTTGTTTTTCTGAACGCAGCTTCAAACTGTTTAAAAAGTGACATTCAATAGAAAATATAAAATAGGAAAATCCTCTCAATTAGAAAGGAAAAATTTAGTGCCCATATGTAAGAGAAAAAAATGCTGCAAACGAAAAGGAATCGTCTAAAATTGAAAATAGTTTTTTTTTTATAGTGTTTATAATCATGATAAAATACCTGTTTATTTTCGATGTGTCAAACTATATTTAAAAAAAAATAACAAAATCATACACAAAAACTAACTTCACACTGCGGATAGAAAGAATGAATGAATAAAAAACAGAATTATCAAATTATTATAGTTAATTAATAATTTAAATAAATAAATTTCTTTAAAAAAAAGCCTTTTTTACCTTCTTTGAAGTAGTCTCAATCTTTCCCTAGCTTCAGCTCTCTCCAATATTTGACGTTCATTTCGTGCAATTCTTTTCGTTTTCATCGCATGCTTTACGGACATAATTGTTCCACCGGCAACAATTAGTGTCAAAATACTAATTACCACTAGACCCCAGGTCTTATTTTTCGGATTATACGGCTGAGAAGCGAACCATTGATCATAGCAGCCACTTTCCCATGTGTAGCCCGAAACATTCATTGGACTTTGACAAATTAAAAAACCCATATCAGTCTTTACTGGCGATTGCATCAGGAACGTGTAAATCGGATGCAATTGATAGCAATCACACCTCCAAGGATTGTCCTCCAGATGAATCACCTTTAGTTCTGGATTGTTAGCGAAAATTAACGGATTCGGACCTTCCGTTAAACGATTACCTAAAAAACAAAAATTGTAAAAGAAATTGATTTTTTACAATTTTATTAACGAATAATAATAATAATAATAATAATAATAATAATAATAATAATAATAATAATAATAATAATAATAATAATAATAATAATAATAATAATAATAATAATAATAATAATAATAATAATAATAATAATAATTAATTTTATGGTGCGATTCTGTAACTTCAATTTGATTGTCGATTCGATTTTGACTTTGAATTTCGATTTTCACCTTCACCTTCACCTTCACCTTCACCTTCACCTTCACCTTCACCTTCACCTTCACCTTCACCTTCACCTTCACCTTCACCTTCACCTTCACCTTCACCTTCACCTTCACCTTCACCTTCACCTTCACCTTCACCTTCACCTTCACCTTCACCTTCACCTTCACCTTCACCTTCACCTTCACCTTCACCTTCACCTTCACTTTAAACTTTCACCCTCACTCTCACCTTCACCTTCACTTTCACTTTAAACTTTTACTTTGTAAGTCAAAATGAAGGTCAAAGTTAAAGAAAAAGTAAAATTAAAAAAGTGTAAGTAACAATGAAAGTGGAAATCAAAGTTAAAGTCCATAACTCCATATCGAATAGAAAATCAAAGTCAAATTACAAAAATCACACCCTTGAATAAAATCAACAATTAATTACCAGAAACATCAATTTTGACAATTTCGGGTAAACCTTTAAACATAAGAGCCGTGAGTTGCACCAATCGATTGCGTTTCAATTCCAAAATTCTCAATGTCATTGATTCAAGACGAACAATTGTCTCAATAATATTGTCACTTAAATTAAGTGTTCTCAGTTTTGGCATATTTATCAATGAATCGCTAAAAATTTCACTAATTAAATTCGACGATAAATCCACAGTTACCGCTGATGTTGTTAGATTGCCAATAATTTTAATATTATTCGATGATAAATTAAGAACACTCAAAATCATACTGTCCCGAAATATTGACCAGTGAATAAATTCCAATTGATTGTTGGATAAATCGAGAATACGTAAATTTAATAAACCACTGAATGAACTTTTATTTAGATGGGAAATTCGATTATTGTCGAGATAAAGATGAGTGAGTGGACGATTTTTGGCGAAAATACGATCGGGAAGAATGTGAATTCCATTGTGCGAGAGTTGAACGTGAGTGAGGGATGGTAATTCGTGAATTCCTGGTCGATCCAAATTGCAATTTGTGACATCTAATCGTTTTAGTTTTTTGTGACGTAGTGCCTCTCGTCTGAAATGTAAAAAGGAAGGGAACAAAATGTTTATTTTTTACACTTGTAATAAATAAGGTTCAAAATTTCTGAAACGTGCCACCACTAATAATTCTTCAATGAAGATATTTTTATATTTTATATCAATAATTTTATTGTATTTTCGTATGAATATATGACCCCAAAGTTGATTTTGCAAAATTTTTATTTTTCTAAGGGGAGGGTAAATCTATATTTACAACTATATGAAGAAAATATTTTAAATATTTAATAAAATTATTTTAATATAGTAATTTTTGAGAGGAATTCAATGGCCATCAAAAAATTGGTCAGAAAATATTTTGACCCTATTTGAATTTTTATTTTTTCTAAAAATTTATAGGTTTTGAAATCTATACGTAATTCTGGTGTTATTTTAACACCTGACGATATACTCTGAAGCCTTTTTAACATGTCTCCAATAGGACTTCTATAAGAAAACTAAATTTTTATTGTTTTTTATTTCAAAGTCTTAGAAGTTATTTAAATTTAGTTAAATATTTTTTGACTTCAGTTTTGTATATGATAAAAATGTTCAAAGTTTGTCTTCAATTTTACGTTAAAATTACTTCGCGATGATTAATGATATTTTTTTACATTAAAAATAGCTTAAATAAAATTTTAATGCACATTAAAATAAAATTGAGAGTCTAATGTTTAATTTACCCATATATATTATTTATAAAAAGGAGAAAAATTATTGCTATTATAAATAATCCAATTTTATATGCTTGACCCAGTAAACATTCAATTTCATTTCCGAAGCCTTGTTTTTTTTTATTATGTAATTGAATATACAAGTAAGTTTAATATAATATTTTGATGATAATATAAAATTACTGTATAATATTTGAATATTTTACTCAAACAAATTTTAAAATAAAAAAAAGTGGAAGTGTAAATTAATTAGAGCGAAATCTAAAGTGAAATTGGAACTGAAAATTAATTAAGGTGAAATCAAAAGTAAAAGTGGAAGTGAAAATTAATTACCTAAGGTAAAATCAAAAGTGAATGTGGAAGTGAAAATTAATTAAGGTGAATGTGGAAGTGAAAGTGAAAATTAATTAAAGTGAAAGTGGAAGTGAAAATTAATTATGGTGAAAGTGGAAGTGAAAATTAATTTTGGTGAAAGTGAAAAAAAAGGAAAAATTAATTAAGGTGAAAGTGAAACTGAAAATTAATTTAGGTGAAAGTGAAAGTGAAGTTACATAATCGACCCCCAAGAGATTATCCTCATGAAAATGTTATTTTGCAAATAACTTAATCATTTTTATAAACAAATTATATAAACAATTACACTTTAGGCGCAGTTATGCCTAAAAGAAATTAATTTTTTTTATAAATTTACTGCAGCTTGTTGCAATTTAACTTTTTTAATGAAACTGATGTTTTGCGATAATTTTTTTTAATTATTTAAACAATTTTAATAAACAATAGCATTTTAGGGACATTTTTTGATAGAAATAAATCGAATTTTTATAATTTAGTTTTTTTCTAAGCCGCTAAGAGATTATCATCGAAAATAAATTATTTTTTAAATAAATTTATCATTTTTATAAACAAATTGAATATACAATTATATTCATCAAACATTTTTAGTAAAAAATTAATCGTCTGTCTTATAAAATAAGATTAAATTATACAGTTAATTTCTTCTAATGAAAACGAAGTTTTTCTTCAATTTATCTTATTTTTACAAATAAATAACATTAACAATTAAATTTGATGAAAATATTTTAATAAAAGAGTTAAACGTTTTTAGAACTTGTTTAAATAAAGCTTGCTAAATTTCTTTTCAAGATTTATTTTATTTCTGCTCAAAAATGTCTCTACAATGCAATTGTTTATTAAAATTGTTTAAATAACTAAGAAAAATTATCGCAAAACATCAGTTTCATTAAAAAAAAAATTAGATTGCAATAAGCTGAAGTAAATTAATAAAAAAAATTTCTTTTATACATAACTTTGCCTAAAGTGTAATTGTTTATAAAAATGATAAAGTTATTTAGAAAATAACATTTTGATAAGAATAAATTTTAGGCGATTTAGGAGTTTCTCCTCAATCGCCTAGAATTTATCTAGAATTGTAAAAAATTTTACTCATTTGTGCCAAAAAATATTCTTACAGTGCAATTGTTTGTTACAATTGTTTAAATAATTAAGAAAAATTATTGCAAAATATAAATTTCATTAAAAAAAAGTTTAATCGCAATTAGCTGAAGTAAATTTATAAAACAACTAATTATTTTTAGTCATATCTTTGCCTAGAGTATAATTGTTTATTTAATTTGTTTATAACAATTTGTAAGCTTAAAAACAATTTTTTTACTACTTACACACCCCCAGACATAAGATGTGTGCAACATTGAGTAAGTAAAAAAATTTGTTGATTAAAATATATTAAAAAGTTTAAAAAATCATTCTTTTTACAATTACATTAACATTAAACATTTATAAAACAAAATTTAAAAAATCGACTTTCACTGATCTTTTTAGAATTTAGTTCTGAGTTGGAGAAATAAAACAAAAATTTAATTTGGTTAAAAATTGTGGTCTAAAAGTTAATTTGAACCAAATTTTATCTTTTTATCCCACTATGGAGCGCAGCGAGCGTGGTCACAAAAATATTAATAACTTTTGACCTAATGCAATATACTAACTTTTCTTTTTTTTAAATACTCATAATAAAACAGGGAATCATAATTGACCAGAAAAAATACGAAATTAGGCGGAGAAGTTTATTTTATTTCTATTTGTTTATAATAATTGTTGCTATTTTAAACAAATTATGAACAAAATCTAACAAATATTTTTTGTTCGAAAGTTTGATTATTGTATATTACTCCTACCAAATTTTTATTAAAAACCATCAAATAGAAATGTGAAAAAATTTTCAATAATGTGCGTAAAAATTGTTTAAACAAATAACTCTTAAAAAATTAAAATTTTGAAAAATGAACTTTGGGGTCTTATTTTGGTAGGAAAATACTATAAAATTATTGATATTTATAAAAAAATCTTTATTGAAAAATTAGTGTGACGCTTTAGAAATTTTGAGCCATAAATAAATTAATGTCTTTTAATTACCTGGTACTGAACGTCAATTGTTTATTGTCCCTCAAAATTAATTCGACAAGATTTGGAATATTTCTGAAAGTGTCAGAACGCAGGAAATTCAAATTACAATAGGAAAGATTTAACCAGACGAGACTTTCACTCACTGGATGGTCAATAATTGTTATTGGATTTTCTGCCAAACTTAACATTTTTAAATTTTTAACTCCATTCAGATAATTGCTGCCGAATTCTTTGAATTCTGAAAAATACAAAAAAAAAGATTCTCTAAGTATTATTTTCGAAAATTAATTTTTTTCCCCAATTTCTTGATGATATTTTTTTTTATTTTTAATTATATTTATTTTTTATTAATAATTAAACATTATTTCTTTTTTTTACATTGAGGGGAACATGTGGTCCAACCTTGACTATGTAATTTTTTTTTCTCAATTTCTTGATGGTCAGTTTTTTATTTATAATTATGTTTATTTTTTATTAATAATTAAACATTATTATTTCTTTTTTTTACATTGAGGGGAACATGTGGTCCAACCTTGACTATGTTCCACTATTTATTTATTTTATAAATTTTCATTTCACGTACCACAATGACTAGCATCGAGAACTTGAAGATTTGGTACCTCCAGTCCAGTGAGATTTGATATTGGATTATTGGATAAATGCAAAACTTTTAATGAGCCCAGTTGACCTAATGAGGCAATTGCACTGGGTACTAAAATATTATTTCCATTTAAACGTAATCTGTGTAGTTTCTGCAGTCCTTCTAAATTATCAGGCAATGAAGTCAGTTTATTTTCTTCTAAATTTAATTCCTCTAATTCTTTCAAACGATTTATATCGTCTGAAATTTCTGTTAAATTATTTCGCGAAACGTCCAATTCTTCTACCTGTTGAGGAATAAAAAAATTAATTTAAATAAATTTATGTTAATTTTATTTAATTTTCATAAACAATTTATTTACATATAAACAATGTATTTGAAAAAAGAGTATATTTTTAGGTAAACAAATTAAATACACAAATAAATAAGTTAAACAAGTAAATAAATAAATTAAATACCCAAATACCGTTAAGTATTTTAAGAATAGGAAATAAAAATTCTTAAATAAAGAAATTAATTTAATACGTAAATAATCTTATTTTTATTTTATTTATTTATTGATGGGACAAAAACGTAAATATGCTACATGAAGTAAATACGTAAACAAATAAAGCAATTACGTAAATAAATAAGATTTATAAAAATATTTTTAATTGAAATTGAAAAAATTGAAATAATTTATTTTAATTTTGATTTAATTGTTAGCGAATAAAAAATTAATATTTCTAATAAAAAATACGTCAATAAATAAAATAAAAAATATAGTTTGATGACGAAACAGTACTGACTTACCAGATGACTCAAATTTACAGGGAATTCTGTCAACTGATGAGCAGAACAAGTAATTATTCGTGGTTTTTGATCCAAGTGGCACAAACAATTTTCAGGACACAATTTATCAGCGTTTATTAATAAAACTAAAAATAATAGATACAAGAGAAGGGATATTTTTCTAATTCCATAAGTTGATAATCCCTTTGGCAGTAATTCCATTTTCTTCTAATAGAGATTAACACCTCTTTGGAAAATTTTTTCCCACTAAATATCACTTCCAACATAACAATATTTGATAATCATTTTTTTTTTCTTTCGAATTTAATTTTGCATCGATTGAAAATAAGAGAGTAGGATATTTAACATGTTTCACGAAAAAGAAATGAAAGGAACGACTACTTTTTACTATTCTTATTCTTAATAAACTGGAAATTCAATTCAATGGGAGCGGTTTTGTCTCTAGAGAGCAGAAACTTACTGACTTATCTTTGATAACAAACGCGGGCACGTTGTTTAACAAGATAACTAGTTATCTGATGAATACGTTTTCGTATAACGGAAGACCTATGACGTTTTGTCATTTTTAAGTCGGCGGGAAATCGGAATTTATTTACTTATTAGTTGACGTTGACACGTGGTGAAAATATTTCTATTCTGAAAAAAAAGATTTTGAATAATAAAAGATTTTTTTGTTAATTGAATGTTGGAATTTATAACTAATAATTGAAAGTGGCTTTGTAATAAAAATATTTCTGGTAATTAAAAAAAAATATTTCTAGAAGTCATTTCATTACATTTCAACTAAAGTCGTTGACTACTAATTTTAAACAATTATACTTTACAAGAATAATTTTAAAGATATTAGAATCATGAAATGAAAAAGAATTTTTTAAATTTTATTATTTATCGTAAAATAAGCATTTAAATTAGATTTTTATTGAAATTATTTCAAGTTTTTATTTTTTAATAAATATTTAATTGCAGAATTTCCGAATAATTGAAATTTTATAAAATTGAATTGTAAACGAATGAATTTGAATATTCTGAAAGAACTTTTTTTAAAAAATTATTAAAAATAATGGATTTATTGAAGAATTTTACTTAAAAAGTAAAAACACTAGAAAAAAATTTAATTTTAGAGAAGTTAGAAATTATTGCAGAAATTTAATTATTTTCAAGAGTAATAAAATTCTTCTCAAGGATTCAATTATTTTTACTAATAATAAAACTCATCGCAGCGTTTCAATTATTTTTCATACAATTATAAATATTGAATTCCTTGAAAAAAGTAATTATGTTCATGCAAGTTTTAATGAAATTGGACAAAAGAATTCAATTATTCAAAACTTTGTTAATAAAATTCTTTATGAGAATTTAATGTTGAGAAACATTCAATTATTCAATAAATTATTTACTTTTGCATTTAGATAATTAAATTCTTAAAGAATTTTATAAAAAAAATTAATTTAAAAATTAATTTCAGTTAAAATTTTAGATTATAATTGAATAAAGAAATAATTTTGAAAAAGTTACAGTAATTATGTTCTTATAATATAAAATAATTATTTTATCTCTCGAACATCTTTAATTATTATAAAAAAAATGAAGAAATCGATCAATTATGTTCAAAATTTTTAACAAAAAATTGAATTTGAAATTCAATTATTTCCTAAAATTTTAATAAAATTCTTGACGAAATTTCAATTATTTACAAAGATTGTCCACATGTCAATGATTCCCAATATTATTTTAATAAAATTACAGAAAAGAACAAAATTATTTTTAAAAAATTTTAATAAAATTGTACGTAAACGTTTAATTATTTTCATAAATAATAAAAACTTTACAGGAATTCTACTATTTACTAATTTTTCATATATTTCTTCTCAATAATTCAATTATTTCCCATAAATAATAAAAATATTTTTAGGAATTCAATTATTTTCATAAATAATAAAATTTTTTTTAGGAATTCAATTATTTTCATAAATAATGAAACTCATCGCAGAATTTCAAAAATTTGTAATACAATTTTTATCAAATTCCTTGAAAAATGTAATTATTTTTAAAAATTTTATTAAAATTAGTCAAAAGAATTCAATTATTTAAAAATTTATTAATAAAATTTTTTAGACGAATTAAATTTTAAGAAACATTCAATTATTCAAAAAAATAATTTACTTTTGTATTTAAATAATTGAATTCTCGTAGAATTTTATATGATAAAAATTTATTTAAAAATGAATTTCAGTTAAAATTTTAAATAATAATTGAATATGAAAATAATTTTCAAGAAGTTACGGTAACAATGTTCTTATAATTTGAAATAATTATTTTATCTCTCGAACATCTTTAATTATTATAAAAAATGAAGAAATCAATCACTCCGAGTCTTCGAATCGGAGCAATCGACATCTTCATGTTTAATAACAATATTTTTAAAGTTATTTAATTTCAAAACAGTTTGAATTAAAAATTTTTTGAAAATCTTAATTCCTGTGGAAAAATTAATAATAATTAAATATTTATTTAAAAAAGAAGTTATTGATGTTTTTGAATAATTTTGCAATTAAAGAACTTCGTAAATAAATGTAACAGAACATTTTCTTGAGTAAAATTTTTTCCTTTATTTTCTAAAAATTAAAAAAAATTTTCATTTTCAATTAAAACTTGTAATTGACAAATAGAATTTATAAACATTTTTTTCCTTTATTTTTAAAAAAACTTTGAATTTTATTAAAACAATTGTAATTAAGAAATAGAAATGATGTCAATTATTTCCTTATGAAAATTGAAAATTTTCTACAAAAAAATATTAAGAAACGGGAATTAGTGATATTTTTTCCCAAAATAAAAGAATAAGTTTGTGAACAACATTGTTATTAAGAATTAAAAATTATTCATAAAATGAGTGTATTTCTTCTATTTTTTAATCGTAACTTTTTAACAATTAACAATTTTCTAATATTTTTTAATTTTTATACAAAAAAGGAGGAAAATTTGCATAATTTAGATCAGTCAACAGAAATTTATTATAGAAAAAAGCATAATATAATAAAGAAAATGGGTATATTTTTCATATATTTTTTCTCTTCTCTATAGAGAAGAGAAAAATTCAAGAAGTTTGTCAGGTTAATATCAAAATTTCAATGAAATTATCTCCTTTAATGCACTTGAGCTGTCAGTGCAGTATAGCTTTGGCGATTTAAAGTATCTCCAGCGATGGTTATGGAAGTTAAGATTTGGAAATTAATTGAAATCATATATAAAATTTAAGAATTAAAGATTGCGAAAAAGAAAATTGACAAAATTGAATTGTGGATTTATTTTTGAGAAAAGGATTTCGATAAATAATGGAATTTTTTAGTTGTCCAGAAATGGAAATTTGAATGGTTCAGGACAGTGGAAAATATAAGACATTAGATAAATACCTCAAGTATCCTAAAGCCGATATTGAGCGGCCATCTCTCGGTCGTCTAAGCCCCTCTTGGCTGACCCATGCGGATATTTTCCCCTTTCCGCCTCAACTACTGTTATAATACTATACTTCCTTATCGTACCCGCGATCCTCCATCCACTCCACTCTATTTACTCAATTTTAAACTCTCGAATGAAAAAAGGAACTCAATTTATTGTTTTATAATTTTTTTTTTTTAATAATTTCTAATAGTTTTTAATAGTTATCAATATTTGTAATGAAAGGTTTTTGTCGATAGAAAAATTAAAAAACTTTTTTTGAACATACGGAAATTGTTGGATTTTTATTATTGAAAATCCTATGGGATAGGCAGAGGAAATTTTCAAGTTTTGTGTTTGCGCAGGGCAAAGTTTGTTTTTCACACGTCCAACTGGACCAATGGATGGTGGGTGACACCCTCGGAGGGTGTGAGCGGCTTAACCAGCGCCGGCGCTTAAACCGCGGCTTATCCAAGTGGGCGCGAGTATGGTCTCTCTACCTGTTGATGCCAACCAACCCCTTTACTGCGATTTCGCAAATCCGGAGATTCTGTTGGTTACGCCTCCCGTGTGAGCGTTTTTTTTATGATTCATCCCCTACGGAATGAATTTTGCCCCTTTTATTTCGAGAAGCCAAAAAAGTTTATGATAACTACACAAAAGTATGAGATTGGTAAGAAAAGTATAAAATTGGTTCGAAAATTATAAAATTCTTTCGAAAAGAAAGAAATTGCGGTTACGTTTCAAATTATTACCCAAAGAATCGAATTCAAACAAAAAGTTACAAATTGGTAACAAAAAAAGTAAATTTATAAAAAAAGTGTTGAAATAGTATCAAAAGAATCAAATTTACAAGAAAAGTATAAAAATAGGTTTCGAGAGAATCAAATTTCCACGAAAAGATCAAATTACTACTAAGAGAATGAAATTTATACGAAAAATAAAAAATTGGTACCAAAAGAATCAAATTTACAAGAAAAGTATAAAAATAGGTATCCAGAGAATCAAATTTCCACGAAAAGATCAAATTAGCACTAAAAGAATGAAATTTATACGAAAAAAAAAAATTGGTACCAAAAGAATCAAATTTATAAGAAAAGAATCGAATTGGTATCAAGAGGATCACATTTATACGAAAACTATCAAATTGGTACTAAAAGCATCAATTTTATCAAAAAAGTATGAAAGTTGGTACTAAAAAAATTAAATCGGTACCAAAAGAATCAAATTTATAAGAAAGGATCAAATTGGTACTAAAGCATCAAGTTTATACGAAAACTATCAAAATGGTACTAAGAGAATCAAGTTTTTACTAAAAGCAACAAATTGGTGGATAAAGTAATAAATTGGTACGAAAACGATGAAATTGGTGAAAAAGTGCCATTTTGGTGCTAAAAGGATCAAGCCTGTTCAAAAATATAAAAATTGGTACAAAAAACAGCATTTATAAACAAAAAGATTAAATTGGTACCAAGGGAATCAAGTTTATACAAAAAATATCAAATTGGTACTAATATAATCAAATATATACTAAAAGCTCTAAATTATTAGGTATAGTACTAAATTGGTACTAAAAGGGTCAAATTGGCGAAGAAAGTACCAAATTTGTATTAAAAGGAACAAACTGATTCAAAAATACTAAAATTGGTACAAAAAACAGTATTTTTATAAACAAAAAGATCAAATTGGTACCAAGGGAATCGAGCTTTTACCAAAAATATCCAATTGGTACCAAAAGGGAATCAAGTTTTCACTAAAAGCACCAAATTAATATTAAAATTTTAACATTGATGTGAAAAGTAGCAAATTGGTACTAAAACTGCCGAATTGTTACTAAAGAAATAAAACTGGTACCAAAGGAATAAAATTGGTACCAAAAAAATTTAATTTACACAATAAGTGTCTAATTAGTATTAAAAGAAAAAAAATTAAACGAAAAGTAATAAATCGGTACCAAGAAAATTAAATTTATCTGACAATATGTGTCAAATTAGTACCATTAGAA